CAGTGGCGCGATCTTGGCTCTCTGAAACTTCTGTCTTCTGGGGTTTAAGCGATTCTCCTGACTCAGCCTCCCGAGTACCTTGGATTATAGGTGCCCACCTCCACACCCGGCGAATTTTTGTGTTTTTAGTCGGGGTTTCATCATGTTGGCCAGGCTGGTTTTGAACTCCTGACCTCAAGTGATCTGTCTGCCTCGGCCTCCCAAAGTGCTGGGATTATACCCTCTGGTTTCTAAGAATGCATAAATTCCTTTTCCAGAGTTTCTGGCTCTATAAATGATGTCCGTTAGTACAAGCTTTTAGAGCTAATAGAACGAGTGTCTTCAAAGTTGTTGTTTTTTTTTTAAGGGTAAAACCATGAAACCTTATAGTAATTCTGATATTTCATTAATTCATCAGGTAGTTATTGAGTTCCTGTGATGTGCTTAACCCTCGTGGGATATAGCCTTATCAGAAGCCAAGGAATCTGGTTCCTTTAGCTCTGAGTTAATTATGTATTTTGAACTTCGATTTCAATGTCTAAATCCCTCCCACTGGCTGGATTCTGCTACTCTACCTTCTACTGCTGCCCTTTTCATTGGTTTAATCCAGGGTTTCTCAACCTCAGCACTGTGGACAGTTTGGACTAGACAGGCCTTTGTCGGGGGGGGGGGGACTGTGCTATATATTGTAAGATGTTCAGTATCATCCTTGTCCTCTACCTGCTGGATAGGAATAGCAGCACACCCCCTCCAAGTTGTGACAACCGGAAATGTATCCAGACATTGACAGATGCCCCCACGCTGCAAACCACCCGTTTAACATCTTATCCCCTTTCTGTTCTTTGTTTTTCTTCCCAAAGTCATGTCTCACAAGAGAACAGCGAGTACAGATCTTAAGCAACTGAACCAGGTCAACTTCACCCTTCCCAAGAAGGAAGGACTTTCCTTTCTTGGCGGCCTTCGGTCTAAGAACGATGTCCTTTCCCGCTCTAATGTCTGCATCAATGGGAACCATGTTTACCTGGAGCAGCCAGAAGGCAAGGGTGAGACCAAGGACAGTAGCCCATCCTCCTCCCCATCCCCCAGGGGCTTCAGAAAGAAGCATTTGTTCTCTTCTACGGAGAACCTGGCGGCTGGGTCTTGGAAGGAGCCTGCTGAAGGAGGTGGGCTGTCTTCTGACAGGCGGTTCTCCGAATCTTCCACCAAGGACTCTTTGAAGTCTATGACCCTGCCGTCCTACCGACCTGCCCCACTGGTCAGTGGGGACCTCAGGGAAAACATGGCCCCCGCAAACTCGGAGGCCGCAAAAGAAGCCAAGGAGAGCAAGAAACCAGAGAGCAGGAGGTCCTCTTTGCTGTCTCTGGTGACGGGGAAGAAGGACGTGGCTAAGAGCAGTGAAGGTGAAAACCCTCTCACGGTCCTGGGGAGGGAGAAGGAAGGCATGCTGACGGGGGTTAAGCCCGGGGAGGACGCGTCGGGGCCTGCTGAAGACCTTGTGAGAAGATCCGAGACAGATACCGCAGCTGTGGTCTCCAGACAGGGCAGCTCCCTGAACCCCTTTGAAGATGTGCAGATCACAGAACCAGAAGCTGAGCCGGAGTCCAAGTCTGAACCGAAACCTCCAATTTCCTCTCAGAGGGCTCCCCAGACCAGAGCTGTCAAGCCCCGGTGAGTTTTGGCTCTTCCCATGCAGGGCATGTCTACCTCGCCATTGGTGGTTTTCAGGCTTACGTTAGACCCGCTCTTGCCGGTTCCGTGATGTCATAGTACCCGTACATGCCAAAGGTTTGCTGGCCTAAATTCTTTTTTTAACGAGTCCCTACTGCCAGCCTGGCCTGCCCTGTACAAATTGCAGTGATGTTTCCTAGCCCAGAGCTACCGCCCTGCAGGCATGGTCTGTCCTTTCTGTCAGCTTATCAGATCTCAGTGGAATGCAATGGTTTGTAGCAAGATTCTGGGTGTTGCAAGTTGGGAAAATGGGTTTGGGTTGTAGTATATGCAGTACCTGTGTTTACGAAGTTCTTATCTCATATTTCCCCTTGAGCCAGATGTTATCCTGCCTCATTGCATTTTGGCATTGGTTTCCGGTAGGAGAGACCCTTGGTCTCTCGAGTGACAGTGACAGTGACGAGTGACAGTGACGGTCCTCTCTCGAGTGACAGTTCTCTGTGTCCACTTTGCCCCTTGTTGTGAGAGCCAGCGTGAGACTTGGGGACTGGCCTTGGGGACTTGTGCTTTTCTGTGTGACTCACATTGACACTGACAATATTTCTGTGGTCTGGGGAGTGAGAGATTTGTTTTTTGAGAGATTCTGCTTACTTTGACATGCACACATACACACATACACACTGTTCCTCTTGAACTTATCTGTGCCTATTGCTTTGTGTCAACATCTTTAACCACTTTGAAACTTTTAGGTGCATTTTGTCCTGTAATAATCAAATGCTCGGGCCTTGTGTTAATCACCACAAGAAACCAGATCTTTACTGGGATCTTTTCATTCTATTGCAACAGACTTTTGTGTGACAGATCTGCTTGGTTGTAAAAGTGTCTGTTAAGTGTTAGTGTTCCTTTTTTTTTTTTTTGAGACGGTCTTCCGCTGTCACCCAGGCTGGAGTGCAGTGGCGCGATCTCGGCTTACTGCAACCTCCACCTCCCAAGTTCAAGCAATTCTCCTGCCTCAGTCTCCTGAGAGTAGCTGGGACTACAGGTGCACACCACCACACCCGACTAATTTTTGTATTTTTCAGTAGAGATGAGGTTTCACCATGTTGGCTGGGCTGGTCTCGA